AGAAAAAAAAGAAGAAAAAAAAAAGGAAATAAAAAAATAAAAAAAAAAATAAATAAATAAATTTTTTTTTTTTTTTTATTTTTTTTTTTTTTCTTAAATTTTCTGTAATTCATTTCCAAGATTATATTGCCCAATAATTATTAATTTATTATGACTTCTTACCGCCTCCGCCCACTTCAAAATGCCTGCTGTAGGCGTTTATGTATTTATGTATGATTTGAAACATTAAAAAAAATAGATCCATTTGGGTATTTCTTTTTTTTCTCAAATTTTTAAAACAAAATTAATTATCCAAAATAAATAATTATGCCGCAGCAAACATCACTTAAACCTCTCCAAGTTAATGTAATTTATTACATGCATAACCATTGATGCAAACAAATTTCATTGAAATCTACCTGTTTACACATAATGTAAGGAAACATAAATGCATAGAATTGAACGTAGTATAGATTGAAACACTTTACAATCCTCAAAAATTATTTCATTATTTTCATTGTACTAACATATGAAATTTTTTTTTACTTTATTTATTTTGATCAATTGCAGCCGTTTGTGTCATCTATATATATATGCAATAATAATAATAATAATAATAATAATAATAATAATAATAATAATAATAGTAAATAATAATAATAATAACAACAACAGCGGTAGTAACATCAAACAACAACAACAACAACAGCAGCACAATAATAATAATAATAGTTAAGTGCGCTTATTTTGGTCTGGGTATCTAATTTTAAGTTTATGCTTCAATCTCGAATTATCAGTTCGGAATGTCGATTATTAAATGAAAAAATTTTCCGACATTGTTCATTATTTTTATTTTTTCTGCGCCTAAAAAAAGAATTGGATCTTCGACTTCAAATAAATAAATGAAAATCAAAAAAAATAAAATAAAATAAAATAAAATAAAATATAAAAAAAAAAAGTAAAATAAAATAAAATAAATTAAAATAAAATAAAATAAAAAAAAAAAAAACTTTTTTACTTATGAAGGTATAAATAAATGCAAATGATGACATACTGTACTTTTTTTATTATTATCAGACTATCCATTTAATTAATTTTCGGGATATTGATAAAGTTTAAAATTTCATCATGTCACGTGTGAAAAATCGACAGTCGATTTTTCACTTGAATTTTTAATTTCAAATACAAATGATATTATCCCTATTATCCCTATTATCCCTTCAAGAAATCTTAAACTTATTACATGAGATAATAATAATTAAAATGAGATTTCTTCCCTCCTGTCTCCATAAAGATTTCATATTCATTACCAAATAAAGTTGAATAAAAAGATAAAAAATTGTTAAACCGAGTGATAAACTCTGAAAGGAAGATTACATCGGAAACTGACCGAATATAGTATCATATTTCCGGGATGACTCCGGAATTTTCACAAAGTAAGGCTAAATATAATACGAATTTATCCGAATCAGAACTTTTTAGTAAATTTGTGAAACCATGGATCTAAAACCTTATGGGCGACACCATGTATTATATGTATTAAGTTGCAAGCATTTCATAATTTTTTTTACCGGAATTGTAAACTAACCTCATGTAAATAAATCAACGTTTCATATATTCTTCAATTGTTTAGTAAAAATAACTTGGTTCAAAATTATTAATTCAAATTCTCATTGTTTCACCATTAACTGATTTTAGAACCTCATTAAATTTTGTGCCCCGCAATTATGGCAAATTTCCTTTT